GACGCCAGGGCAATAACCTTGTGGAGTGGGTTGAAAAACTTTCTAGCCAGCATGCCTGCCAGCTTCCTTATAGGGGGGTAGAGAAAAATGATCGTCACCAGGGCTACTACCTGTTGGAGTGAGTCGAAAAACTCTCTCACTAGCAAGCCTGCTAGCCCCCTTATAAGGGGATGGCTTAAAATGACCGTCGCCAGGGCTAGGGCTAAAAACTCTCTCACTAGCAAGCCTGCCAGCTCCATTGTAAGGGGGTGGCTTAAAATGACCAACGCCAGGGCTAGGGTTACTACCTGTTAGAGTGGGTCGAAAAAGTTGAAAAACTCTCTCACTAGCAAGCCTGCCAGCTCTATTGTAAGGGGGTGGCTTAAAATGACCGACGCCAGGGCTAGGGTTACTACTTGATAGAGTGGGTTGAAAAAGTTGAAAAACTCTCTCACTAGCAAGCCTACCAGCTCCTTTGTAAGGGGGTGGCTTAAAATGACCGACGCCAGGGCTAGGGTTACTACTTGTTAGAGTGGGTCGAAAATTTTGAAAAACTCTCTCACTAACAAGCCTACCAGCTCCCTTATAGGGGGATGAAGTAGAATGATCGGTGCCAGGGCTACTACCTGTTGAAGTGCGTCGAAAAGCTCTCTCACTAGCAAGCTTGCCAGCTCTCTTATTGAAGGATGGAGCAGAATGACCGACGCCAAGGCTATTACCCGGTGGAGTAGGCTGAAAAACTTTAGCACTAGCAAACTTGCCAGCTCCTTGATTGGGAGGTGAAGCAGAATGACCAATGCCAGGGCTATTACCCAATGAAGTGGGTAGAAAAGCTTTCGCACCAACAAACCTGCTAGCTCCTTGGTCGGGAGGTGGAGAAGGATGATGGACGGGGCAATTAGTTATTCGAGTGGGTTGAAAAGCTTCCTCACCAAAAAGCCTATCAGCTCCCTTATTAGGAGGCCCGCCAACACAAAGACTCTGGTATGGTGTTTTAGTTTGTATTTCTACATTCAATCGCGTTCCCTTAATTGACCTAACTCCATAAGAGAAGGTTATCTCAAGAAGAAAAACACAAGTGAACAAGACCTTGCTTTTGTCCATAACTAATGAGAAGTGAGTTTCAAAAGGAGGATAGGTTTGAAGATTATATTTTGAAGATTATATAGGCATATTTTAGAGAGTTAATAGCATCTTCAAAATAAATGTAAAAGATGTATTTTTTTTTTTTTAAAAACAATACTATATATAATCATATTTCTTACTTCTGTTTTTTTCCCTTTTTACTCAAAGACATAAGTGAGTGGATCCTATATGTATTTATGAATGTGAGCCACATTTATTTGAATAAGTATATATGTGCAAAAACTATTCACAGAATAGGACATAGACCTCTCACAATAGGTAGGTCTCACATGTAGGAGTAGGGCTCACATGTGTGAGACTCACCCCTTGTGAGAGATTTGTATCCCATTTTGTCAATGATTTTTGTGTTCCTAGTATTACTGCATTTATTTTATGTCTAAAAGTGAGAAAATGATGTGAGAAATTGAATTATATAATATTGTTCTTTCTTTTAGGGGCTGACTTATTTTGGAATTACATTTATAGTTCTTATTAGAGTAGAATGAGGAAAAATAATTAATTTGATCTTTCTATATTTATGAGAGAATACTGCATACTTGGAATTTATAATTATTTTTTGGGTCGAGTTTGGGCAGATCTAGAGGCTCGATGTTGGAGTTGGGTCAGGCTTGGATAGACACAAAGTCCCTTATTATGTAGTGTCAATCCAGCTCAAACTCGGCCTATTGTATGCCCACCCTTACTATCTGGGCTTGTGAGATTCACTATGGATCTTAAGATGATCAAAATCATTCATTTTATAGAATTTTGTGTGTATATCATTCATATGAAAAACTAGATCGATCCGATAATTATAATCTATTCAATTTATTGCATTTGTATCTAAACAAATGAATAATAAATACATTTTCAAAAATAGATCATTTATTTATTTGTAACAAACGTGATAAATTGAATAGATTAAGATTATTAAATTGATTTAAAAATTGTTTACCCAAAAAAAATTGATTTAAATTTTTTTTTCACAAATGATATATACAAGAGATCTTACAAAATAAATAATTTAAATTATTGAAATAAACCCCATAATAAATATCCTGGATTTAAAAAACACCCTCCAATCCAAGTTATAGATGCTAAAAAAATTCAGTCCATTCAAAAAATTCTCAATTCTTATGACCTGAACGTCATGAATTTAATCTATTTTTCAACCCTAAAAAAGAACGGCTATAAATCCAACAACCAGAAGGGTCTTATTTATAGTTCAAATAGTTAATAATATATAATCAAGGGAGATGTATTAGAATTTTTTTTTTAAGTATTTGTATTTTAATTATTCCATAAAATATTCTTCTATTTTAATAAGTCCTATTATTTGAATATTTGATCTACTAAATCCTAATTCTCATATTTAAAGTATTTTATGGACATTTCTACTCTTACAAATATATTTTGAACGGTTAACAATTTAGTGATGTGAACATTCATATTTTACAATATGAATATTCATATTGACAGTGTGAACATTCACATTACGAAACATTCGCACTATAAATGTGAATATTATTAGGGATATTTTAGTAACTATGTCACTCATAGGACTTATTAGAATATAAGAAAATAATGTGAACTAAATGGAACATAAGTAAGTGAAAAGGGATTTATGAAAAAGTGTCCCATTATAGAATGTCATGCAATTTACCTCATAAGTCGGACATACCAGATAATTTTTTTTTTCTAATTTTTAGGTAAATTATATTAACAGTTTTTATAGTTTGAAACTTGTGTCACTTTAGTCACTGATCTTTCAATTGTGATATATTTAATATTGAATTTTGAATCTCATTCTAAATAAGAACAATTGAAGACACTATTGCTCCATTTTAAAAAGCAAAGTCGTCAATTTGATAAAATATAAACTAGTTTGATAAAATAAATATAAAAAATTAGTTTTGAATTTTAAAAAATTATTTGTACTCACCAAAGATAAAATTGTATAAAAATAATAAATCTTTTACATTTTTTTTTTAATTTTTACCAAATTAATTTTTAATATGTATTTGGATGATGATTATGTAATGAGTGGTGTTTTTTGTTGATATTTTTGGATGGTTATCATATAATAGATGATTATGTTTGTTGTTAGAATCATGCTAGAGAACCCAAATAAATTATCAAATTTTCTACCAAACATCTCACATGGTTGTGGGACCCACACAAATCACATGTGTGGGTCACACACCAATGTGAAAAGTTTGATAGAAAATTTGGTTATTTATTTTGGATCCATAACAATTTCCTTGTTGTTGATAGATATTTTTGGATAGTTATTATGTAATGGTTGGTTATTAGGCTTTTAATGTGTAATTGATATGCTTAATATAGGAAATCTTTTTAGTATTGAATTTTTTAATTTAATGGATTGGTTCAATAATGACATCAAAACTGTAACTATGTTTGACTTTTAAAAAAAATAGAAATTAATTTAACAAAATTAAATATAAAAAAATTATGCCTACCTTCCTAAAAGATAAAATTATATAAAAATAAGATCGAATTACACGAAACGTCCCTATAGTTTGAGATTTGTGTCACTTTGGTGCCTGACTTTTTAATTGTGACACTTTTGACTTTAAATTTTGAATCTTGTTCCAAATAAGAACAATCGAATATACTATTGCTCAATAGCAAAGTCATCAATTTGATAATATATAAACTAATTTGACAAAAATAAATGTCAAAAAAATATTTTTAAATTTTTTAAAATTATATATACTCACCAAAGATAAAATTATATAAAATTGATAAATCTTTTACACATTTATTTATTTTACCAAATTAACTTTTATTATGAGTTTGGATGATGATCATGTAATTGGTGGTTGTTTTTATTTTCATTAAATTAGTTTTTATTTTTTCAAAAGCCAAATATGGCAACAACTTTGATATCATTATTAAAGCAATCCATTAAATCAAAAATCCAAAACTAAAAACATTTCATATATTAAATATATTGATTACATATTAAAAGTCTAATAACTATCCATTACATGATCATCATCCAAACATATAATAAAAATTAATTTGGTAAAAAAAAATAAATGTGTAAAAGATTTATCAATTTTACTTAATTTTATCTTTAGTGGATAGAAATAATTTTTAAAATTTTTTAAAAAAAAATTTGACATTTATTTTCGTCAAATTAGTTTATATTTTATCAAATTAACTACTTTGCCCTTAAAATTAAGCAATGATATCTTCAATTGTCCTTATTTGGAACAAGATTTAAAATTTAGGATCAAATGTGTCACAATTGAAAAGTTAGGGACCAAAGTGAAACAAGACCCAAACTATAGGGACTGTTAGTATAATTCACCCTAAAATAATGTGTTTTTAATTTTTTTTACCAATTTAATTTTTAATTTCTTAGAGAAAAAAAAATTGAAAATTCTGAAAACCAAGCTAAACAAACATCATTCATTAAAAAAAAAAAAAAGTCATTACATTTAAAATAACATATAAGTTAACCAACACAAAATAAGTTGTATAATGATATTGCACTTGAAATAAACCATTTGCAAATGAAATATCTTTGATTGTTCTTATTTGAAATAAAATTCAAAATTCAGAATCAAATATATCATAATTAAAAAATCAAAGACTACAATGACACAAATCTCAAACTATAAAGGTTGTTAGTGTAATTGGCATTTTAATTTTTGTGGCAGGTAGGGAAGAAGAACGAGACCTCAAAACCAAAGAAAAACACCAACAGACTCGGAACATTGATGTGTCACTTTTAATGCAGTTAGGACAACCCCAAAAAAAAACAGAGAAAATGTGGTCCATGTTTTGGCATAAAACTCTCTGCACATGACATATGGAATTTGTTTCCAATCTCTTCCCTCTATTTATGTTACTACCTAAAATCAAGATCCATTACAAAAATTTTAACTGTTTTGGCCAAGGAAAAGAGGAACAACCAAAGGAGGAAGCGAAGCACAGAACAAAGATGGCAAGCTTGAAACTCACAGCAAGGCTTTCCAGTTACTTTCCGGCCTCTGTCGGAAGTGGTTGGAGCCCAAGGGCTTTTGTCACTGCTACAAGACCCTTGCAGAAGGTGAGTTCTAATTCACCATTTTATGTGTGCGGGCACGGGTACAAAAAAAGTTCAGAAACATATAAACGATCACAGGATCAATCAATTTCAGTTTTTCTAAAATAAGATCCTCTAAAGTGTATATATAGGGCCAATGTGCCCTATTCGACTCCGTCACACTTTAGAAAGGTGAAAAATTGAGATCTCTGGTCTTGATTTCTCCTAAAAAATGATATTGTCTGCAATAATTGGAAATGAGTCTCAATGGAATCAATAGCAAAGCTCAAATAACAACAAACATTAACAAAATTGTTCTAGTAGTTTGGGTTGCAATGCATAATTGCACTGTTGGATAGTAACTGAAAAACAGTTACAAATTTTGTTGACATATCAAACAGTCAAAGTCTGAGAAAGAAGAGTGCGAGAAGGTGACCGAAGCAGCAGAGTCTGTAAAAGAAGGGGCTAAAGAAGTGAGGAAGACCTGCGAATTCATGAGAGACACTGCTAGCTCTGCTGCTGAGAGTGTATGAGTTTCTATTGTCAAAGCATTTTTTTTGCACTCAAATTGTTATTTTGTAGTGAACTAGAAAGTGAAATTATGTGCAATTAATTACTTCTTTTTTTTCTAGTTTATGTATATTTGTTAAATGGTTGGTTGATCAGGTGACTAAAATGACAAAAGAAGTGAGTGAGAAAGTATCAGAAACAACAGAAAACATCACAGATGCAGCAAAGGGAACTGTCCAAAAAATCAAGGAAAAAGTCACTGGCAAGTGATTGTGATTCACCAACATTAACAACCATCTCTTCTCAAGATTTACTTGTATTAATACCTTTTTTATTTTTTATTTTTGGCTTCTATTATTCATATTGTGATGTCATTCCCATTAATCTTATTGACTTTTCTTATTTTGACTATTTTCCTTTTCCTTTTCTTTTCCAATAAAGGAAAGAGATAGGTTATTATATTTTTTCTTGAATTTTTGTAAAATCTATACAGAATTATGTAACAGATTTGTATTTATTTATTTCAAATTAAAAGACATGTTGAAGCAACTTATTGTTTTATAAATGACACTTCCACATTATTCTGAAGAGATTTTCTGCATAAATTTTTTGATTATTTTTATTGATATATATATTTGTAACAAGTAATCACCAATGCAATAAGACAATCACGATATAAATAAACTTTCATGCATGTTTTCATACTGATAAACACTCCCTAACTACGAACTGGTAGTGTACCTTGGATCAAAAGTCCAAGGTAGTAATTTAAAGCTTTTCCGAGCTTAAAGCTTTTTCTATGGGGCCTTCTATATATATAAAAAAATAATAAACCTTTGCACACATGGTTTTAACATGAATCAATATTTGAATATTTTTTAGTAGAATTAGATAAGGTAGTAATTTAAATTTTTTTAATTTCGTATTGTTTAGTATAAAACTCATATTATGAGTGAGCTTGGTTTTGTTATGCAATGTTCATCAGCTAAGTGGGCACAAGGCTAACTTTGAATTAATTAATTTATTCTTAAACTCACATTAGTTCAACAAAATGGAATAAATAAACTCACCAATTTATTTTACCTGAAACAGACAAATAATCAAAGATGGCTCATGAATAACAACATTTCTTGAATGAAAATATTAGAATTACCTAATTATATGCTATATTGAAAGGACACGAAAATGGATGAACAAAATGCAGTAATATTAGGAATAGAGAAATCATTCACAGAATGGGAGACAAATCTCTCACAAGGGATGTGGCTCACATGTCACAGAATGGGATACAAATCTCTCACAATAGATGGGAACATGGCCTAATCTAACAAAATGAGGTAAAAATGTTTTTCTAATATTAAATTCTATGATATACTAATGACAGTCTACAGAATTAATAATAAGAAAAATGTTTCAGACCACTAATTTGGGACCCCTAATGCATCTTTAATGACAGTGGATTGAATTCACGTGAGAGGCCAAATCCACGCCGGCCACACTCCTCTCCCTCATCTATCTCTCTTTTCTTTCTCTTTCATCATTGCCAAAATAGAGTGTTGATTCGTGTTGTGTCTTGTCTCTCTAACCTCTTCCCCTCCCCCCTTCCTAATGGTGGACAACTTCTCTCACCAACGACGATTGATCTACTCTCTTCTATCTTGCTGACTCTCTCTTTCTCTCTACCCCCTCCCTCCCTCGAGACCAACGATCTACTCCTACGAGACCAACGATAATATACATATGCATGTATTTATATACGAATTGATTTAGCGTTTGCGTATAACTTCCATTTTACAAATGGATTTAGGGGCTTCTAAGAGAGAAAATCTCAAAAACTTTGAAATCTATATAAATTTATTATACATTCTAATTTCACACATTTAAATACATTTTGGGGGGTACATTTTTTTTAGAATAAAGATTTTGTTTTTAATTTTTTGTATTTGTTTTTGATAAAATTGCATACAAATGGGACGAAGTATAAATGATTGTAAAAATGTGAAATATTAAGGGCAAAATAATAATTTCACCAGTTTGTATACTGTCCAACTATACTACAATTATTTTTTTATCATTACAAAAAAAATTGTTTTTTGCGACGGCAAAACGCCGTCGCAAATACCCCAAATGTCGTCTCAAAAAGTTTTTGCGACAGTAAAATGGCTTTTTGCGACGGCAAGTGGGGGTCGCAACAAAAGGGGTTGCAAAAGGGTTTTAGCGACGGCAAGTGCCGTCGCCTTTGCTTTTGCGACGGGAAAATTCCTTTTTTGCGACGGCAAATTTCTGTCGCCAATAATGAATGAAATTCTGAGTTTTTTGCGACGGCACAGTATTGCCGTCGCTAAAATGATTTTTTGCGAAGGCAAAAATACCGTCGCTAAAAGTGTATTTGAGACAGCAACCTAAGCCGTCGCTAATGACTATTGTCGACGGCTATGATACCGTCGCTAAAGGCCTTATTTTTCAATTATATTCCCTACCTTTTGCGACGAACAGTATAGGTGCCGTCGCAAAGAAGCCTGTTTCAATTTTCTTTTTGAGACGGGATGTTCTGCCGTCTCAAAAAAAAATTAAAAAAAACAAAAAAAAAACCTTTAATAAAATTATTAAAATATGAAAATGACCTGTATTAAATGAAAAATAACTATAAAAAAAACTAATAATTATATAATAATATAAAAAGTCCAATATATAAATTAAAATTCATCCATAATTAAAAAGAAAGTTATATTCTAACATTAACAATTCCATCTTCTAGTCAAATGTAAAGTACCACTGAAACACTACAACATAAAAACAAAGCCAAGGGCAAAAAAAAAAAAAAAAAGAGGAAGAAAAAAAGATGTACATAAGATGGTCACTAGCTACATTAATACTAGGATTGCTTTAATTACATATCATATAAGATTAACCCAATCCATGCCATGATTGTAATTGTTTTCTGGCACATAAAAAATATTTCCAAACCCTTCCATCCCAAACTCCCCTAGAAAAGGAGGTGGATCCATGGCTTCCATGGAGAACAATGAGCCGGGCTGTTGCTTGAAACACCATCGCATCTCTCCAGTAGCCTCTGTATCCTTGAGCTTCATTACCTGTAAATTAAACAAGTCCAACTGTTCCAATGAAACTAAAAATATTATGGTACAACAACGTAGGTAATTTTTTTTATAAAATTTTTTTGGGAAAGGCCTTCTTTCTTTCATCTTAAAGTTTGTTTGTGTCTTTTCAAAACATTAGTTATTAAACATTCTATAGGAAAATGCAACTTGAAGATATTAGTCATGCAAAAAGTAAAATTTCAAGTTTGATACTGAGTAAGAGTCGGACAAACCAAAACACAGTCCAAAAAGAAGAATGCTAGAAATTTAATCCATACCAGAGGCATTGATTCATAAAGTGACATGCCGCTGTTCTGACTCTCTCATCCCATTTGAGAAGAGCTACATGAATGATAAAACAGGATGGAGTGGAACATCATCCAGAACTGCTATAAAGCAAAGAAAGAAAACCAACTTGAAGAAACATAATGACCTTTACCTTATAGAAAAATAGACTTTTTGCTGCAAAAATGGGAGAGCTGATGTGTAACGTCTTAACTCTCAGAACTGTAGAACAATCCATGCTCCAGTCTGAATCATTACTATTTGCAGCTTTATCTCCTGCAAAAAAGGTAATATGCATTAAAATAACAAGAGCTGACCATAGCAGCATTTAGAAGGCTGTTGACTTCTCAGTGGCATAAAAAAGGTAATAATCAAAGTTTTAAATATTGGCCGTAACGTTTTAAATATCGGCTGGTGGCTTCCCTGAAACACCACTTCTTTCAGGGAAACAATACGACAGTATTGAGCATAAAACAACACTTGTTCTGGTTTAATTGTCATATTTGAGATTCATAGTGATCACTTCCACAAATATTTTTAAAGACAAGACTACTAATAATTCAAAGGAAATTTTTTGACAGCAGACAGAGTTACATGGCAGAACAAAATTTTGCATAGCTAAACCCAAAAAAGTTGGGAATTTTGGGAATTGTGCAACTTAATAGCTAACTTTATTTTAGTCTTTTTCTTTTTCCAAATTTTCAAAACTAAAATGATAGTTGCAATTAAAGATGGTTGGTTGTGGGATAAATTATGAATAGACTGAAATCCTGTTGATTTGAAATGACTTTTGGAGCCAAGAAAAATCAAAACACAAGAAAAATTGTAATTGAACTTGAAATCGAACTATCACCTGAATGTGATTCTACAATCATTGTAGCCGCTTCCTCATTTTCATCTTCACAACCCACGCCATCATCAGTATCAATCTGGTTACAATTCAAAATCTCCTCCCCAGGGCATCCAGCAGTATCCACAGCTGTAAGCATATAGTCAATGTCAATCAACATTAGTACAATTATCCAAAAGGTGTAGAAGTATGATAACTCTACACAATATGCATCACATAGCAGAAAGGGAAAGAATCTATTTCAAAGAGAACCCTCCCAATTAATGAATCAATCAAATATCTTATCTACAATAAGAGCATCTATACTAATATATGAGAGGGTAATTTATGATCTGGAGTTGGGCCGAGGTGACGGCCGAACTGGTTGAGGGCCCAACGGTGTATGGGCCCGAGCTGATCAACTATCCGCCCGGAAATGGGCTGCCAGAACTTGGGCCGGGCAGAGTTAGACTGAGTGTGTGCCACCCCGGAGCGTACAGAAACCGCTAGGCCAGGAAGTGACCGGTCAAACCAGGATGCTCGGTCCGAGGATGGTCCAAACCAGACAGACCGAGAGACCGGCGCCCGGAAAGGCGCGATCAGCCGAGGTAGTTGATTGACCGGCAAAAAGGCCAACCAAAGGAGGTGCCCGGGCTAGGCTTTGCCGAGATGCCGCCTAGCCCGGTCCTTCATGTGTTTGTCCGGCTAGGCGCATGGGTTTGAAGCATGACATGGCCGAGGTAGAACAGCTCGGCTGCCAAGCTCCGCGGCCGGAGTATCCACTAGGAAGCGGAATTTCCCCATTTTTGGCCGGCTTAGTGTATCCCAGCTGAGGGGTTTGGCTCTGGGTATTGGATGTTGCCCGGTCCTGAGAGCCTCAGGAATGACATTGGTCCCCTTGGACTCTGCAGGAAAAGGATGGCAAGTGTTAAGTGTTAGCGCGGTCGCGCGAAAGGTGCTGGATTTTAGCTCGGTCATTAAGGGTGCCAAACCACCTCGGTTGTTTATTCTATCTAAGGAGCCCGGTCGCCCAAGCGGACCAGATGTTAGCCCGGTTGAACGGCCAAGTCCTTTTGTTATCTCGGTTTTCGCTGGGGTTGAAACAAACAAGTTGTTTGCCCGGTTTGGTTGGTTTTTTGGATCAAAAGAAGGCCCAGAGCCTGGTTCACCCCAGTTCTTCAGCGTTCTTCAGGAAGACGAAGAACACCAAGAACAGTGGGAGGGTTTGGGACGGATTCTATGGCCTTTGCCCTAAATGCTACGTTTTTGTACCCTAATGTGTGTAAAATAAAAGAAAATGGCAACAGAATAAAGGTGGGACGACTTACCAGAAAATGGGAGGGCCTAATCCCACAATCACGAAGAATGGCAGTCGAGCTTGAGCTTCAGAATCGTCACAAATGGAGGCAGCAGTAGGAACAAATGGAATGGTGGGGGGCGAGTATACATAGGCGAAAGAGGCCGCCAAAATTCAAAACTCTGGCACGGGCGGCGGGTTGGCTGCCCGATGACCAATGGCAGCCTGCCACGTGTCCCTATTTATGGCGACGTCAGAACTGAAACGACGGGTTGAAGAGGCGAAGAGCCGGCCGAGCTACTTCTGGAGAAAAGACGTCAGCCGGGGAATATAACCGGGCAAGTTTGCAGACAATTATGTCAACTAGCCCGGACGAGGTTCGGCGTCTTGAAGACCGGAGAAATGTTATCTCGGTCGAAGTGAGTAATCCCAGTCACGCTTTCGAGGACGGAATTAAGGGGCAATTGAGAGGGTAATTTATGATCTAGAGTTGGGCCGAGGTGACGGCCGAACTGGTTGAGGGCCCAACGGTGTATGGGCCCGAGCTGATCAACTATCCGCCCGGAAATGGGCTGCCAGTGCCAGAACTTGGGCCGGGCAGAACTTAGGCTGAGTCTGTCCCGTCCAGTAAAGAAGCAACTCGGTATGGCAGTGCTCGGTCGGACCAGGATGCTCGGTCCGAGGATGGTCGAAACCAGACAGACCGAGAGACCGGCGCCCGGAAAGGCGCGATCAGCCGAGGTAGTTGATTGACCGGCAAGAAGGCCAACCAAAGGAGGTGCCCGGGCTAGGCTTTGCCGAGATGCCGCCTAGCCCGGTCCTTCATGTGTTTGTCCGGCTAGGCGCATGGGTTTGAAGCATGACATGGCCGAGGTAGAGCAGCTCGGCTGCTGAGCTCCAACTGTGAAGTCAAGCAGTTGAGGTTAGGTGGTGAATGGCATGGTTTATGCTGACAGATGGGATAGCAGAGCCACGTGTCAGGAGATGACTCGGAGTGGATATGGGGCTCAGAAGGTATAAAAGCATGTCTGCGCCCCCCATACGCAACACGAACACATCTGTAAGGATTTCTTACACTCAAACACTCTCTCTCTTCTCTCTATCCATCCTAAGGTGTGTGCTAACTTGACCGTCGGAGGGTTTTTCCGGCCACACACCGCCGGGTAGCTCACCATTACTTGCTCGCAGGTGATCGGACATCGACGGAGCTCGGAAGAAAGGAATACGGGCTTGCCGGAATATTTGCTCCCCGTACAATATATAATGTGAGCACCCAAGTTCGTGTGAACTCCGTCACGCTATTTTGTTTACCAATTATGCTCTACAAATAATATATTCGGTTTCACAAACGGGTGTAAACATGGAAACTAAAATTTTGCCCTATGTTCAACCCAACTCAAAAATTGTTAAAATTTTAAGATTTTGAATTCAATTGGACTCTTCACAACCTTATTCGCTGGAAGGAAATGATACTAAGCACATGCATCACATGTGCCACCACTTCTAGTAAAGTAAATAAGACAACACATCAGGGTCCAACATGTAAAAAATGACAATTAAACAATAGTAACGTGTTTTCCTATCTGTAATCTCTATCAATTTATCTGCAGCATTAAAACATGTAAAACTCTGACCATTTTCACAATTGCTTACATAATAGACCATCTGTTATGAAATTAAAAACTACTTTTTTTCAATACCTTAGAAATAGCTGCATTTAAATCTTACCCTTCAAAATACATCAACAAACCAATTTGCATGAAAATTTAAACAATAGAGGTAAATTGAAATCAAATTAAAGAGATAATCCCAACATTAATCAAATTTCCAAAAATTACCATCAACCATGGCAATAAAGCTGTTTACATCACATGTCTCACCCCTGAAAATTAAATTAGGTTCAGAGGTAAATCAAATTAATGAGATAGTCCCAACATTAATCAAATTTCCAAAAGTTTTACAATCAACCATGGCAATAAAGCTGTCTACATCACAGGTCTCACCCTAAAAATTAAATTAGGTTCAAGCTTATTACTATACAAAGTCTTGGTTTGAAAAGTGATGAACTTAACCTCAACCAACCAAAATGGTTGAATAATGCTAAGTTTCTTATTTCTCAAGTCTAGCATTAATTATATCCCATCTCAAAATTTCAGTTTCTTTTCTCTCCCATATTTTCTCAGCAACCAAACCAAATTATATACACATCTTTATTAACAATAGGAACATCAACCACAACCAACCCAAATCTCCACAAATAACCTTAAATCAAAACATGAATCAAAGCCTGCACATTCAATAAAAGAATCAAAATAAGAAATGATTATTTCACAAGGGTCTGTTTCATTAGCGAGATATTGATGGATTATGCAAGAAAGAGAACCAAAAGAAAATCAAACTTTTTTGGTGTTTGTTTGAAATTTCGCATACAATCTCTTAAACAATAAATTTAGATTTTGAATTCCCACAAAATATGCAAAAATAGTTATTTTATAGAACAGTAATCAAACTCCCTAGATTTTTCCATGGTTCCATCCCCTTGCTTAAAATGGACAAATACAATTAGGTAAAATATATTTTCTTGCAGCTTTCGTGCTTTCCAAACTGAAAACCTAAAATTTTTCAATCATTTTCTTAGTAATACAAGCTTGCCTACTGAAAACAAAAAATAAATAACTAATTAAAATTGCAAAGAACCCAAAATATAAGAGGCTTCATATAGTTTCTACAGAAAACAAATCCTGGCACAAAATAAATTATCAGAAAAATTCAGGGTTTTCTTTGGTCAACTTCACAAGTAAGTGATAAAAACTCTTATACACCTCAAGAAAATTTAGGATTTTTTTCCCCATCAAACCAAACAGAAGCAATTGGAATTTTTTCCACAGATTCTCATCATATACAAGAGTCAATTGAACATGCATACAAGGACATAAAATTTGATATTAAAAACAAAACCCTAACTCAATACAATCTTACCAGATCGACTACAGAAACAGCTCAATAACATCCAAAAAAAAAAACATGTTCGGATTCAGAAAAGAAAAACAACTCACAAGGCCTCGCAAACCGATCCAACGGGCCCAACATAACTCGGTCTCTCGATTTCGCGCAAATAGCGGTACAAGAAGTCTCAAATCTGAGCGATTCAACTACAAATTGAAGCGCTACAAAACCTGCATTACGATCAGAAACCTAGAAATCGCGGGATCGGAATCGAAATTCACAATCGCTAACAAGAAAAAGAAAAAAATCTGCGTACCTTCAGAAAATGATATCGGTCACGGGGTAGAGAGACAAATGATATCGTACACTCAAAACCCTAAAACCTAGAGAGACAAATGGGTAGAGAGATAAACGGAAGGAGAGATTGGGGATTTTGGGTTTTTCGGGGGGGATTTTGGTTGAAGATGTTGGGGTTTTGGGGGGGTGGGGGGAAGAACCCGATTGGGGATTTTGGTTGAACAGATTGGGGATTTTGAATTTTTTTGGGGAGGAGGGAGCGGGAATGGAAAACAAGAAACAGATTGGGGATTTTGGGTTTTTGGGAAGGGGGGAGCGGGAATGGAAAGAGGGAGGGGGGGAACCGGGCGGGAATGAAAAGAGGGGGGGGGGAAATTTTTTTGGATTTTTTTTATTTTTATTTTCATTACAAATAAATATTTAAATAATAAAATGATTTTTTTTTTTGCAACAGAGGATGTCATTGCTAAAAAAATTATTTTTTATTAAAGATGTCATTGCTAAAAAAAATTATTTTTTATTAAAATAATTTTTTTTTATAGTTAATGAATTTTTATTTTTATTTTTTCATTTAGTAAGGTTGAAAATTTATTTGTTTCATATTTATTTTTATGAATAAAAAATTATTATTATTTTTTTATTTGGTAGAAGTAGGGATAATATTTTCTATTAAAATAAAGTTAATTTTTTGTGGTCAATGTGGCATTTGCAGTGGTAGTAGTGGTAATTATGGAATGACATTTGCAGTAGTGGTGAATGTGATAGAGAAGATGGGTGATGAGAGAGACATGAGTGAGAGACAGATAGAGAAGAGAGACAGAGAGAGAGAAAGAGAGACAGACAGACAGACAGAGACAAAGTGATGAGCGAGAGAGACAAAGTGGTCGCTAAAAGTTCATTTTCTTGTAGTGGAGAGCTCGGTAAATAAAGAAGAGATGAGGGAGAAAGTGAACAAGGTGAACACAATGGGGGAGAGAGACAAGCAGACATATAGACACATAGAGAGAAAGAGAGAGAGAGAGAGAGAGAGAAGAGCGAGAGACAGACAAACAAACACAGAGAGAGAAAGAGAGAGAGAAGAGTAATAAGTGAGAGAGAGACAAAGAGAGAACGAGATACAGAGAGAGAGACAGGGAGACAGAGAGAGAAACATATAGAGAGAGAGACATATAGAAAAATAGAGAGAAACAAGAGATGAGCGAGAGATAGACAAAGAGAGAGAGAGAAAGAGAGCGAAAAGAGATGATCGAGAGAAAGACATAGAAAAAAAAAGAGACAAAGAGAAAGAAAGATGAGCGAGAGAGATAGAGAGAGAGAGAGAGAATATAAATGAGCAAGAGAGAAGAGAGATAGAGAGATGAGAGAGATAGAGAGAAGAGAGATGAGCGAGAAACAAAGAGAGAAAGAGAAAGAGACAAAGACAAAGACTGACTGACAGAGAAGAGTGATGAGTGAGAAAGAGAAGAGAGGTAATATTTTGTGGTAGAGAAGAAGAACCGACAGTAATGGTGAAGGTGGTGGATAAGAGATTATGGTGGTGGTGGTGGTGGTGACGAAGAAGATTAGTGGTGAAGCTATGGTAGTAGTAGTAGAGCAGATGGAGTAGCAGGGGTGAAAGAGAGGTAATCGTAGTAGTAGTAGTAGCAATAGTGGTAGTGGTGGTAGTGGAGTAGTGGTGATGGTAGTAGTAATGGTAGTCGTAGAGGTGAAATAGCGACCATGGTAGTAGTGAAATGGCGTTTGCAGTAGTGGTGAAGGTGGTAGAGGAGATGAGTGGTGAGAGAGATGAGTGAGAGGCACACATAGAGAGAGAGAGAGAGAGAGAGAAAGGAGATGAGAGAAGAGATGGATGAATGAGAGACACAGAGAAAGAGAGACAAATAGACAGACAGAGAGAGAAGAGTGATAAATGAGAGAGAGAAAGAAAATAGAGAGAAAAAGATGAAAAAATTAGTGAAAAGATATAGACAAAGAGAGAGACAGAGAGAGAGAAAAAAAAGAGCGAAAAGAGATAAACGAGAGAGAGACAGAAAGAGATGGGCGAGAAAGCGAGAGAGAAAAAAAGAAGAGAGAGAGAAGAGAGACAAAGAGAGAAGATAGATGAAAGAGATAGAGAGAAGAGAGATGGACGAGAGACACAGAGCAAAAGAGAGACAGACAGACAGAAAAGAATGATGAATGATGAATGAAAGAGAGAAAGAGAAGAGAGACAGAAACACAGAGAGAAAGAGACAGACAGAGAAAAGTGATGAGTGAGAGAGAGACAAAGACACATAGAGAAAGGGAGAGACAGACAGACAAAGAAGAGTAATGAGTAAGGAGAAAGAGAAGAGAGACAGAGACAGAGAGATAGGAAGATGAAAAAATGGGTGAAAAGAGAAATGTTCAAAAGAGTAAGATGACGTTGTTTATAGTGGATCGAGAAGGAGCTTGATAAATAGAGAAGATGGGAGTAAGAAAGTGAGCAAGGCGAACATAGTGAGGGAGAAATAGACAAATAGACAAGTAGAGAGAGAGAGAGAAGAGTGATGAGTGAGAGAGAGACAGGCAAAGAGAGATAGACAGAAAAAGAGATAGAGAGAGAAAGAGAGAGAGAGAGAGATAGAGATAGAAGGAAAGATAGAAAAAAAGAGAGAAACAAGCAATGAGCGAGAGATAGACAAAAAGAGAGAGAAATAGAACGAAAAGAGATGAGCGAGAGAGAGACACAGAAAAAGAGAGAGACAGAGAGAGAAGAGAAATGGGCGAGAGAGATAGAAGATAAGAAAGAGAGAAAAGAAATGAGAGAGATAGAGAGAAGAGAGACGAGTGAGAGAGACAGAGAGAGAAAACAGATGAGAGAGATAGAGAGAAGAGAGATAGGCGAGAGACACAGAGAGAAAATGAGAGAGAGAAACAGACAGACAGAGAAAGAAGAGTGATGAGTGAAAGAGATAAAGAGAAAAAAGAGAGATAGAAACAGAGAGACATGAAGATGAAAAAATGAATGAAAAGAGAAATGTTATATCAAAAGAGTAAGAAGACATTGTTTTTTTAAAAAAAATTTGCGACAGAAAAAAGTACTAGAATTTATTCAAACCATTTTGTGACTGTATATATATGAAGTTGTCTCAAAACCACAATCACTATGCTAGGTTAAAGTTTTCCAAAAACTCTTTTGAGAAAATTATACTTTCTTGTTTTCTGTGTTATATTGTTTTTACTGAATTTTTTTAATATTTTAAGTATTTTTTTTAATTTTTAGACACACCTAACATAAATACACCTAAAAATTAAAAAAATTGTAAAAAAATTCTTTTAAAAATTCACTAAATACCAAAAATACAATAATTCAATACATTTTTTTTATGTATTTATTAATTTTTAAAAATATTTTTTCATAATTTTTTTTAAATATATCTAAGTAAGGTGCATCTAAAAAAATATTAAATATTTAAAATTTTTAAAATATTCTAAAAAAAAAAAAACATGAAAGTCACTTTTTGCGACGGCAGAAAGTGCCGTCTCAAAAAAGTAGTGTATTTGCGACGGCACCATTTGCTGTCTCAAAAAAGCAGAGCATTTGCGACGGCACAATTTGCCTTCTCAAAAAAGCAGAATATTTGCGACGGCAGAAAATACCGTCGCAAATGCTATGCTTTTTTGAGACGGCATTCTCTGCTGTCGCAAAAAGTGACTTTTTGAGACGGCAAGTGTGCCGTCGCAAATAGTCCTGTCTCATATACTCACTTTTCTTGTAGTGTTCTCTCATTTTTTTTGCAAAAACACTATAAATCTACCCTTATCAACCCAAAATGTACTAGAAAATGAAATCAATTATTCAAATTCATTTTACTCATTGACTTCACACTTCATCAATTTAATCTCCAATACACAAATTTATTCGGGATAACTTGTGAACTCCTAAAAGTGGATTTGGAAGGATTTTCAAACTATAATTCTACCCACACATTCCACTATCATATGTTTGGATAGGGTTTTCAAATTATATTTCCACAACAAACAGAAAACTCTGTGTCAGATGGAATTTTCAATTTTTTTAAAAAAAATTTGGCCTAACCGATTGTCCCACCGGTTGTCACGACCCGTCCCCGTATCCAAGAGTTAAGTATCGTAATGACCAGTAACTGAGGTTACCTCCGGCCAATTCTTAAACAAATTAATAAACACAAGCGGAAGTAATATTTAAATGAGGGTACCAAAATAATCATCGGAGTTTCTATTTTTTTTACAAAATATATTGACAAAAAATGTCGATATTTACATATAAACATATCATAAAAGTGTTATGTGTGTCTATTCCGCAGGCCCGCGTCTAAGACTTTCCAAAAGTTATTTCTGAAGTGAGTTGTTTCCTGAAAATTGATAAACAACTATAAGCACATGGCAGAGTGAGAAATATTACACAAAGAGTATAAGGGACACGAAATAACTATGGATAGTTAGTTAGGCCAAAACATTTGTATAACTCAATTTGGTAAATAAATCATTTAAGTGGCAGAAACTGAAATACATAAATTATGTAAATAAATAATCATAACTACGGTACATAACAAAATAGAACAGAGGTCACAAGAGTGACAGTTAAAATAGAGGTACGGACTCAAGAGGTGGCTCGTACGGACTATAGAAGTGGCTCCCACAATAGTGTAGCACTTATCTTCCGTACAGCACTTTGCTCCACATAGAACAGAGGTCAATGGATCTATGACAAACAGAGGACCACAAAGTGGTCAAACAAAAGTCAATGGTTATTTAAGTCCCCTAAGGCATGGGACTCCCGTGGTGGTACTTACAAAACATAATTGTTTATAAAGTTATAGACAAATATTCTTTAAAAGTAAAATAAATATATCCATAGGTTTCATTTTAAGCAAATAGAGTTCAGAACATAATCCACGTAACTGAAATAATAATATAGTTTATAATAATTTATAAAACATAACTTGTATAAAATAAATATGATAAATCAAAACATACGTAAAATATATTATGGTGACTCAAGATATAATATAACTCATCTTAACTTTAATACCTTACTCTTTCTTTCCACTGCAAAAAAATCTTTTCAACTTCTATTATTTTTCCTACCTTCTCTCATTTCTTTCTCCTTCTCTCTCTCTCTCTCCTTTCTTTCCTTCCTTTCTTTTTTTTCTTTTCTTGTTTCACAGCAACTACTCCTTTTATCCTAAAAGTTTAATGCTTGTTCTCCACGGTTTAGGGGACACGTAGTCTCCATTATTACACGCTAGGTTTGAGCTTATCCTTTCAACGGATAAGTTAAAATAGTTACTTAGATCTCGTTTGGGAACATGTTAATTTAGTAACTTTTTGACTATTTGGTTAAAAAGGTAGGTAAAAAAAATTTGTATGTTTGAAATGACTTTTTGGCTAATTACGAAAAGATGTGCAAAAAGTAGAGAGAAAAGAGAATCTTTGACTTTTTGGTATGGATTGTTAGCTTTTTGGCTAATTTAGTAACTTTTTGACTAATTGACTAAAATAGCCTCTTGCCAAACGAGGCCTTAATTATATTTAAGCTCAAATCTTTAACTAATTATATTATTTTATAAAATTATTCATAATAATACAAAACAAATTATATATATTTTTAATTATAATTAAATAATATTAGTATAAATTTTACAGAACAATTAAAAATCTGAGTTGTTACAAATTTAAGCGCGTCGTCGCTCGCATCTGCCCTCTTCTCGGCGACTGATCTCAATTCTTCAGCATTGCGGGCTCTCTCCATCTCGGCCTCGACACGGGCGCCCTCCGTCTGCGCCCTACTCCTTTGACCCTCAACCTCCGCTTGTAAACGGCCAATTAGCTCGACGACATCGTGATAGCGATAGCCCATGTCAGCTATCCTTCCGACGACCTGCAAAACAGGAAGTTAAGAACAAAATAATATTTGCGTAAAGAGAAAAGACAAAGTCTAGATATATACCAAAAGAGCCGATTATGGGGCCAACCCAATTGCAACCAGATCAGGCTCTGCCCCAAAAGCCGCCTTATCAGCAGGCAGTGAAACGGACGTCGCCAAGCTGAGTGCAACCGCTGGATCTTTGATTATTGAAGCATCGGAGGAGATCGGCATATTTTTTGTCGGCACGGTCCGACTCCTCCAAACGAGGTCGTTTGTCGGCACGGTCTTCTTTTGAGCCGGCCTCGACATCGGCAGGGCGCTTCTCCACCTTTTGTTCAGCTTCCACACTCACCTGCACGAAAAGTTCCACCTCGGTACTTCTGTTCTTTGCTATCCCCTTAATAACAGGCAAGGAGGACTGGGACTAAGATTCGGCATTCGCCGCGTGGCCATCCTTTCTGCGTTTGCCTTCTTGGCAAGTTTAGTGAGGCTCAACCCAGCTATATCTTCTGGGAACGCGACGGGAAGGTCCTCCAGACCGTGAAAAATATCGTCAAGTAGACGGTCCTCTTGACCCGAAGTGGATGGTGGATCAGCCGAATTAAGGCGTGCCAGAACTACAAGGAGAGCCTGAAGACATCTCCAAAGAAAAGGCTCGATTGGCTGCAAAACGGGTTTTTTTTTTTTTTTTAAAAAAAAAATGTCTCTCTTTCTTTCTCTGTCTTCACATATAGATAAAAGTTTGAATCTTGTTCTTCTTCTTCTTGAGAAGGTGAATGGGCCAGTGCTGGTGGAAGACACCTGCCTCTGTTTCAATGCCCTTAAGGGTCTCCCAGGTATTATTACATACAACACTCACATTATTTAATTTTTGTGTTTTAATTATAAACTCTCTCTCTGGTGCTTGATGACAATCTGTTTGATTGTTTGAAACTATTTTGCAGGGCCTTACATGTAAGTTTGTTTGTTTCATGGTTGTCCTTCCCTTGAGGTGAAATGAAACTTTGTTTTCTTCTATATACTACAATTGTTGTCTTATTGATTTATTGTATATTGTTCATTATTATTATTATGAATCATGGTGATAACTTGTGTAATGTTAAAGGTTAAATCATGGAACATTGTGTAATTTGATCGAGAAAAGGGTCAACCATCCTAATTTGTCTTTCCTTGGAAATAAATATAAGTGTCATTTGGCATTTGAGGAAAAACAAAATTTCATGAAATTAACATGAAATCTCAGTTAGTACTTGCTGTTCTAATTGAATTAAAGAAATTTCAGCTGGTAGTATGTTCGGGAAGATGTTGTTTTGTTACAAGTGTGAAAGTAAACCCCTTGTTTGATTACTTGTTAATTTATTTTTTTTGGGAAAAGCAAAAGTATGTGTTGCTTTGCTTCCACATACAATAGAAGTAATTCCAATAATGCTGATCAAATAGTGCATGAACTTCACTTGTATCCTTGTCTAAGCATGAGCGGTCCGCAAGATAACAGGGAAGAGTCTCCCGCCAACAAAACAAGTGTCAAGAGCTAAAATGCATTGTTTCTATTGCTTCAAATCAGCTGTTAAATGATTTTAATTTAATTTTCAGTCCACATGAAGCTTAATTTTACTCAAATGAAATTCAACATCCTCTTTTCATATATTGATGTTAAGAGAATCCATGAATTATTATTCTTCCTCTAAGCATGGAGGCTTTTCTACCACTGTGAGAAGGTTAATGTGATACTTTTATCTAGATGGCTTCCCTATTGCAAGAACAACTTTCCAAGTTCTTTGAACCCTTTTTCTATTCGTTGGAAAGACTTTGGCTGTGTTTGGTTATGATGAAGCAGTGGAAACTGCAAGAACGGGAAAAATTTATTTATTTTTCCATGTTTGTTTAGCAGGAGTATGGTGAAAAATGTAAGAATGTTAATTTTTTTGTACAACCCATAGCAACATGGCAAGCTTGGCTTTTCAATTCTTGCAAAAAATACATTTTTCTTTCACTTTACTTTCTATCACTTTCACTTTGCATCATATTTTTTACTCTAATCAAATGGATCGTCAAGGATCTCAATTAATGTACAAATTTCAAAACCATAAGTGGAGTAATAGTCTAGTGTATCCTGTGGCCAACCCAGTTTTGTGAAATTCTAGAAGGGGAGGAGGTGATAATGTTAACGAGCATTGTGCAGGTAGTATTACTTTTAATTTCTTTTGCAAGTGTAATCATATTTGCAAACTAGTTTCTCTTTCCTTTTCCTTCTTTATATTATTCACTATTTTGTCACTTTTGATTTCTTATCTGAACATTCAAATTTTTACACCACTAATTTTGACCTAGCAAACTATGCTTTTGTTTTTACACCACTAATTAGTCCCCAGCCAAATTGTTTTTTATCTTGCTGCTACTTCTTAAGGGGCTAGCAGACAGTTATTATTTGAGCAACTCGTTTCACCTTCCATTAAAAACATGGACTTCCACCAAATAATTTTTTGCAATGTTCTGTGTACTTTTTTGGCTTATTGTGGGATAAAAGAGGTGATCTGATTAATAATCCTATTACTAAAACAATTCTATTTTTCATGCGAAATAGTTTTTATTTCAATAATCTTCTCAAATGCACAAACTCCCACAAACATAATGGAGTTGCTTGTGAATTTTCAGTGGTTAAAATTCATACCTGTAACCTTTGAGGTTGTGGCTTTGAATTTGAGGGAAGCCACTTTATAGGTTAGGTCTGTATCTAGTCTACCCCTTCAAAATCCCCATTAATGGGGGCTAAACTGAGTGTACTTGTTTTTTTTTCAACCTTATCAATTCCTTAAGAGCGATGGGCGTGATACAAAAAATCAAGAGTGGATAAGAAAGGCCTTGCATTAGTTGTTCTTGATTGTGTCATGCAGAGCTCTACCGGGATAGATAAACTGTGGTCAGGAGAGAAGAAACATTACCATTCAAACAACAGTATGGTTGACAGGGGGAAAATGTTACCAATCTGACGTTAGTTTATCAGGCTAAACTTATTGCTTTTAATTCTATGACTTGTTCTCAAAATCTTTGTACTTTGTGATGGACGGGACTTACTTTTCCATATTTGTTGCATATCATCATTTGTAATTTTGTTTTGCTCGCTCTAATAGGTATATTTTCTTTGACCTTTAAATATTCTTTTTATTCATAATGTATTGAATGCTAGTGTAACTTACTACCTTGCACATATGTTATTGTCATTTTTCTTACTGAGGAATTTAAGCTACATGGATTTGTATAAATTAGTTGTTCAGTAGTAGGTTTTCATTGAATATATTAGACTAAACATGATATTATTGTGGGTTGATAATTGTTATTTGAATATGAGAAAATCTCTTATGATCAAATTGTTTAACACTTACAGTGGAAAATTATATGTGAATGTTGTTCTTTCTTGATAAACCTACAGAAAATGTTATTACCCTACTGTTCATTCTGATTTAATTCTGTGTCTCCTCTTTATGGTCCTAACATTCCTCTCGTTTTTGCTTTCTTGTGGACGTCAAATTGGAAAACTAAACCAAGCAGCAAGTGGTTTTTGGAGAAGATTGGTCATGAAGGTTGCTTTTTTTTTTCTTTGCTTTGTTTTCTGCTTTTCTGCCTTCATATCCTTTGATATTCACATCTATGTCTCCCCTTTTTTGTTTGTTCCTAATGCCTCTTGTCATTTTGTCTAGGTCTGAACAATTTGTTAATGGCATATGAGGATAAATCAGCCTATGCTCTGTGTGTATTTTCTCTTGCTCTTGGTCCAGAGATAGAGCCAATAACTTTTATGGGGAAAACTCCAGTAAGATTATGTGCTTGCTCTTTTCTTAAAATTATAGTATTAATGGCTGGTTCTGGAGTTATGAGCACTCAGACTTTGGATGTGCTCATTATGAATGTGAATGCATGCATGTATGTATTCATGTTTAGATCTGTTCATATATATGAAAAATGTGATATAACAGTTATAATTTATTGAAACAAATAATAGACTACAGTTGAACTAGCATTAAGTTTACAGCACATATTAACTATGTGAAATTTATTTCTTCACTTGAGCACCAATTTGGCCCAACTATAAAAGTTCGATTGGCACATGGCTGGATAAGTTCTACTAACAGCAAACTTGTTATGTGAAGGCATTTGCAGCATGTATAAATTATATCCTTTGAAGCATGTGTTAATTTGAACTTGGATTAGAATGTCTATATTTATGCAGCAGTTCTGGTTTTATACTAATGTACGACGAGTAGGGGTTGCACTCTCCAACTGGCAGCAATCCCGATAATAATATATGGTAGCCAAAAACCTAGGCTTTTGGGCTGATTTTAATTGGGTTTTATGGCTGAATGTTTAGTAACACATATTAGGGTTTGTATGGCATAATAAAGGGGTAAGGGTTTCAACATGAAAAATTGGGATTTTTTGGCACTTTTTAGAGGCTGTTCTGGGTGCTGTGAATTGTAGACAAGAACATTAACTTTGCAGATTTTGCAGAAAAAATAAAGAAGAAAACTAGGAATCACTTTGGGAATCCCCGAGGCATCACACCTAAGGTTAGGATTGCATCACACAATCCATGCTAGCTGCTGAGCGGGCAGCGGTTGCCGCACGTTCAGCTGATTCAGCAGCAGTCTGAGCTGCAGCCAACACATCCTGCAAATCTACATTGGCTTCACTTTTGGTCCTCGACAAGGGCATAGGTGGCTCACTCTGTCTCACAGGAAATGTTGCAGGAAATGTTGCAGAAGACTGTGATGGTGGAGATATGAATGGCAAAAATTGTTTATCTCCCATCGAACAAACTGGAATTTTGGCCGATTCAGTAGTATTAGGTACTGATTTCTCTTGCAACACCTCGTCATGCTCCAGGTTCAGTTCATGTAATAGACTTTCATTTACATCGGAATTTTTGGCTGATTGAAGATTGACTTCTGGGGAAGGAAGCATTTCTGGTGCTGAAGCAGTGTCATGCCCCAGGTTCAGTTCATGTATTAATTTGACTGAGTGATGATCATGGTAGGGTGTTTCAGTGAGGTGCCGAGAGGGAGCGGGAGGTTTGAAGTGGTTGAGATCCGGCGGGCGGTCAAGGCAAGGTTGCCGCCTGCCGGAAGGCGAAGAACACCAAGATCTTTAACCTATAGCTCTGATACCAAGTAGAAATTTAATGATTGATATATTGATATTGTGTATTTAATTACAAAGCAGAGTAGCTCATTATATAGGAGAGGGTTTGGGTAGTAGGTGAGGAGTAGGTGAGGGTAAATTGGTGGTAGGTGTAGTAGGTGTGGTAGTAGGTGGTGGTAGGTGTAGGTAAATTCTAACAGTAATTTTGTTTTGCTCGCTCTAATAGGTATATTTTCTTTGACCTTTAAATATTCTTTTTATTCATAATGTATTGAATGCTAGTGTAACTTACTACCTTGCACATATGTTATTGTCATTTTTCTTACTGAGGAATTTAAGCTACATGGATTTGTATAAATTAGTTGTTCAGTAGTAGGTTTTCATTGAATATATTAGACTAAACATGATATTATTGTGGGTTGATAATTGTTATTTGAATATGAGAAAATCTCTTATGATCAAATTGTTTAACACTTACAGTGGAAAATTATATGTGAATGTTGTTCTTTCTTGATAAACCTACAGAAAATGTTATTACCCTACTGTTCATTCTGATTTAATTCTGTGTCTCCTCTTTATGGTCCTAACATTCCTCTCGTTTTTGCTTTCTTGTGGACGTCAAATTGGAAAACTAAACCAAGCAGCAAGTGGTTTTTGGAGAAGATTGGTCATGAAGGTTGCTTTTTTTTTTTCTTTGCTTTGTTTTCTGCTTTTCTGCCTTCATATCCTTTGATATTCACATCTATGTCTCCCCTTTTTTGTTTGTTCCTAATGCCTCTTGTCATTTTGTCTAGGTCTGAACAATTTGTTAATGGCATATGAGGATAAATCAGCCTATGCTCTGTGTGTATTTTCTCTTGCTCTTGGTCCAGAGATAGAGCCAATAACTTTTATGGGGAAAACTCCAGTAAGATTATGTGCTTGCTCTTTTCTTAAAATTATAGTATTAATGGCTGGTTCTGGAGTTATGAGCACTCAGACTTTGGATGTGCTCATTATGAATGTGAATGCATGCATGTATGTATTCATGTTTAGATCTGTTCATATATATGAAAAATGTGATATAACAGTTATAATTTATTGAAACAAATAATAGACTACAGTTGAACTAGCATTAAGTTTACAGCACATATTAACTATGTGAAATTTATTTCTTCACTTGAGCACCAATTTGGCCCAACTATAAAAGTTCGATTGGCACATGGCTGGATAAGTTCTACTAACAGCAAACTTGTTATGTGAAGGCATTTGCAGCATGTATAAATTATATCCTTTGAAGCATGTGTTAATTTGAACTTGGATTAGAATGTCTATATTTATGCAGCAGTTCTGGTTTTATACTAATGTACGACGAGTAGGGGTTGCACTCTCCAACTGGCAGCAATCCCGATAATAATATATGGTAGCCAAAAACCTAGGCTTTTGGGCTGATTTTAATTGGGTTTTATGGCTGAATGTTTAGTAACACATATTAGGGTTTGTATGGCATAATAAAGGGGTAAGGGTTTCAACATGAAAAATTGGGATTTTTTGGCACTTTTTAGAGGCTGTTCTGGGTGCTGTGAATTGTAGACAAGAACATTAACTTTGCAGATTTTGCAGAAAAAATAAAGAAGAAAACTAGGAATCACTTTGGGAATCCCCGAGGCATCACACCTAAGGTTAGGATTGCATCACACAATCCATAGAAGAGCTTCAAAAACTTCATGAAATTATCCAAAAATGTCCTCTATTGAATTAATGGCATTACATTGCTTTTATACAAACTTAAAAAGACTTCCCAGTTCCTACACCAATTAACTAGGATTTTTAAATATGAAACTAGACTTACCTTCTAAAGCCGAGAAATTATTTAGTAATCCCGGAACACCAGCCAATCACTACTTAGCCCCCATGTTGTTCCCCTATCCCCAATATAAATCATGAGCCCCTCTTCCTCTCTACCAATCAAAACCTTATGGAACACCACGTATCCATACTTTAAGAATACTGAATAATCACCCTCTAAAACCTTACACAACCCATATTACTATTCATGTGTGACCTCTACAGCCCAGGTCAAGAAATTCTACAATGATCAAAATACTCGAGCTATAATCATATAGAAAACTAATCAAATTAATGCATAGCCTAAATAATCATAATATAAGACTCTACTAAGCCTTAAATTTTAATTATACATGTTTCCAATTATCCCCAATTGAGTTCACCTTGAAACCAACACATGTCCAAACTTAGCTGCTGCTTAATTTTTTTCCCCCTTGCTCCTCACATATCTGCATTAGGTACTTCAAGATAGTTACTCCCAACTTATTTTTCCCCCTCCAAAACTCCGCAAATTGAATTCTTACAATTTGCTTAATAGAAGTAACTTATGGTACTGCTATACTGTTAGATAAACTGTCAGTTGACATATCAGCCATTAGGCCAATTCAATCTGTGCCACATCAAGGTATCACCATGGTCTACCACATGCATGTAAGAAGATATTTTATAACAGTACATGCATGCATCAGATTACATGTCTCAATGGTCATTCAAAACTTGTGTAGCTTAAGTAACATCCAAAGGCAAGGTATCCCAAGAAGATTGTGAGCTTTAAGATACGATAAAAGAGGCATTTAAAAATTAAATACAAACAGGAAAAACTGGAACCTTGAAATAGAACAATGTAGGCACATTAAAATTATCAATCACATACTTGCATTACATAGTACAAATCCATAGCAGCCTAGAAAAAGATAAAAGAAACAAGGAAACTATAGTTAATTATAAATTGCATCAAGGTATAAATAAAGCTACAAGCATGAAATGAGGAACATATTTCCAACCATATCATGATCACATTCAACACAGGGAAAGCATAAACACAATGAACAAAAAATTAGAACATCTATCATAACAAATGTTCAATAAAGGCAACCTACTTGTAAATTTTTGTCCATGTCACAAATTTAGTCTGTCTTGGCCACCTCAGTTGCAGCCATTGACTCATCCAAGCCGGAGCAAGCAACAAGCCTCTCGACTGGAACTTTAGTCACATCACGACGTACTCCAATATCAGAGATAAAACGGCTAAGACAATACAACCCACAGCCCACAGCAGCCAAACCAGGAACACTGCTTGTCAGGAAGCGAAGTGGTGAAGAAACAATAGCACTAGTTGCAGCTAGAAAGGATGCCGCTTGTCCACTCCGACCAACAGAAATGGTAGTGAAGACAAGTAAACCAGTCTTACAGTATATTGCAAAGTCCTCACAATTATTCTTAAAGATGTTATAGCCACCAAAACCATTCTTCAGTAGGTATTCAGCACGGTGGAGGACATCCTCTGGTGGGTCAGAAGCAGCAAGGGTGCAAGTCCCTCCTCGAGCTTTGGCAAGAAAGAAAACTGGTGAGACAGCATACTGAAAGAGGTAGAGTTCGCCACCACAAAGAAAACATTCAAGGCAAGAAGATATGACACCATCAAGCCTTGATTGATCACCGCATTGTGGACATGGAGTGCCCGAAGGATTCGAGGAAGATGAGCTGAAAATTATGCGGTCCAACACCGTTCCTGTGCCTATCTCATGGCCACCCCCCCGAGTGAAGTGGATCACCTTTCCATCACCAGCATATATACCTGGTGTTTGATGGCAGACAGGTTAGAAAAACAAAGGCATGAATTTCAGCAGAGGGTTAATAAATTAAGTTAAAAGTTCATGAAATTCTCAACATACTCAAGAAGAGAACATTTTAAAAAGCATAAATAAAATGACAATGTAGTGCATTTCAAAATAAAGACAATAGAATACCTACGCCCAAATCAAAATGCTAACTTTATTTTCTACAACAAATCATATTTATCAATGAAAATTAGAAAAAGAGTTCATGGGAACATCTTTAGGCTCCACTTGGTAGGAGAAATGGAAAATAATACAAGAGAGCCAAAAAGGTACTATAGGAAAAGGATGTCAACTTTCCTCCATGTGTTTGGTTGAACAAGAAAAAGTAAGAAAGGCAAATGGTGTGCCAAAGAAGTGAAAACAAAAGTTTCCTTCTGCAGTACCTCGTTTTATCTACTTCTGGCCAAGTGAAATTTTGGGCTTAAGAGTGATTTACTTTCATTCTCTCTCTTTCCTTCTCGTTCCATCTACCAAAAAAGGAAAATTTCCCCTTTGCCTCCCTTTCCCAACCCCATTAGTCTTTCCCTCAAACACTTCCCAACACGTGTTGGACACATGTCCAAACATGTTCATCGTTTAGACACACATGAAACACGTTAAAAGTTTGAACAAAATAACATAAAGAACACAATGATAAAAAAAACAAATGTAGATTTATACCTATTAATCCATCCTTCTTTAAATTTTAGGAACTAGTGTTATGCTACATTTTTTTAACAAAATATTTATATATATATATATGACATATAACAAATATATAAAACTATACATTTTGTGTGCAGTTGTCCTACATATTTTGAAATTTGTCGAGTCACATGTTCGTATCCATGCTTCTTGGATGTGAGGTGTGTGTGTGTGTGTGTGTGTGACTGAGTGTGCTGAATATCCTTAGTGATGACTGAAATTTAATTGACTCAACTACATTAAATGATGCCCCTTTTGCATTTCATTATAATTTAAAAGTTATATTTCAAGCTAATCTGAAGTCACCAAGTCAATTGTTGTTAATTCATCAGATTTCCTCCTCAAAATTCCCTCTAGACCTTGTAAAGTCTTCAACCTAAACAATATTTTTTTAACAATACAAAAACTGGGAATCATTTTATTTTATATTTTTTGGTAGGAGGGAAAGAAACAACAACAAAGCAAGAAAAAAAACCAAATCTTTTAGACCTTGAATGCACAACTATAGTAATAGGCTTGTTTGGTGCAGCTTCTTGCAAGCTAAATGCTTATAATCAGAAGCAAAAACTAAAAGTACCCCTTTTAGGTCTACTCTGTTATTTTCTTGGAATAGAAGTTGCTATGTATAAAAAAAGTTCTTTTTTTCTCAGCGAAAATATGTTATTGATCTCCTAAAAAAGAAAAACAGGTATGTTAGGATGTAGAACAGTCACTACTCGTATTGAGGCCAACCATTGGCTTAAAGGCGAAGATGGTGATCCAATAAACAGGGAGCGGTATCAGAGGTTGGTAGGAAAGCTTATGTATTTGTCTCACAAACATTCTGCTATGGCTTATGCAGTGAGTGTTGTAAGTCAATTCATGAAAAATCTCACAAAACTCAACCAGAGACAATTTTCCAAATTTTGAGAACCTCGATTCAACTCCGGGAAAAGGGCTATTATTTTCTAACCAAGGACAGTTGAAGGTCAAAGCCTTTACTAATGCAGATTGGGCAAGGTCTATAGATGATAAACTTCAACCTCTATCTATTGAACAATTTGTACCTTTGTTGGAACCTTGTTACTTGGAGAAGCAAGAAGGAAGAATATTACAAATTGCTTAATTAATTAACA